TCCCTCAGCTCTTCAACTCAAGGCTAGTGCTCTATCACTTGAGCCACAGCGCCACTCCTGGCTTTCTCTGCGTATGTGGTGTTGAGGAATTGAACCCAGGGCCTCATGCATGCAAAGGCAAGCACTCTACCACTGAGCCACCTTCCCAGCCCTGGCCCTGAATATTCTTTTCTCTTGACTTTCATGATACAACTCTTTGTTTGTTTTTTTGTTTTTGTCAGTTGTGGTGATTGAACTCTGGGCCTGTGCGCTGTCCCTCAGTTCTTTAGCTCAAGGCCAGCACTCTACCACTTAAGCCACAGCACCACTTCCAGTTTTCTGGTGATTAACTGGAGAGTCTTATGGACTTTCCTGCCTGGGCTGGCTTTGAACTGTAATCCTCAGATCTCAGCCTTCTGAGTAGCTAGGATTGTAGGCATGAGCCACCAGTGCCTGGCCTGATACAATGATACAATTCTTTCCATTCTCCTTTAGTTTTCTTTGCTGGTCTTCCTTGCTTTTGATCATACTTCAATACAAGAGTTCTTCAAGATCTGTCTTTGATTTTCATTGCCTTTTTCTACACACTGAAGGAAATTCTTGGCCATACTCATGGTCAGTTAATACAATCTAAAGGTGGGTAGTTTCTAGATTACATATTTCATTCATATCTACACTGAGTATACAGACCTGGGAATCATTATGTGAAGGCTCAATTTCTAGCTTCTTATTTATAACATATGTATCTGGCTTTAAACTGCAATCTTGTACTTTTCAGCCTCTTCAGTAGTTAGGATTACAGGAGTAAGCCACCAGTGCCTGGCTCAAAATGTTTTTAATGTCTATACCTTTCCTTCTCTTAAAAAATATTTTTTTTGGGGGGGCAAGACCTGGGGCTTAAACTTGGAGCTTGGCCACTGTCCCTGAGCTTCTTCTACCACTTGAACCACAGCTCTATTTCCAGCTTTTTTGGTATTTTATACTGGAGATAAGAGTCTCATGGACTTTCCTGCCCAGGCTGGCTTCAAACTGTGATCCTCAGA